AACATTCAAGAATTTCAAGGTTACAGAAAGATCCTTTCCCCAGGGGATATGAGTGGAACTTTGAAAACATTATGCTTTTGCTGAACGTGCAAAGCTTTCGTTCAAAATGATGATTATTAAAATGCGCAATTTTTCAGCTCTGTATAAAGACGGAAACAAAGGCAAAAAGAGTGGTAAGAAATCGGAAAATGTAAGCCAAATTAATCCCATTTTATCCACTTAAATACTGATTTAATATTTATTGATCCATTTACTAAACTGCATTTTTATTCAATTTTTCTTGAAAGCTTCTCCTTATTAATGACCAATCCGAAGGGGGATTCTTTGTTATGTAAACGAGGCCGAATCTGAATTTAAATAAGAGGAAATTAGATAAAATCAAAATTAGAATTTTTTTACAATAAACAACAGAATGCTTATAGTCCATTGATATCTAAATATAACAAAACTCAAATATTTTCGACAACTATAAAAGTAATTTATTTACTGTATAGATGTCCATTACTTGCCAGTTGGGAACAGTTATAAAAATTATTTAAATTTATAAACTTTCAAACTTTACATAATAATTCATTAATTTAAAATACTAACTGATTAAAGAAAAACATGCGGAGAATGTTTGTAAGGCAAAAGATGTCTTCGAAGACTTTCGAAATAAAACTGGCTGGTATTCGTATTACAGATGGGAGGATTACGGAAACAGTCAATGTAGCTAGTCCGTACATTAGGATCCACATCTACTATTTAATATTTCATTTAATATATTAGCTATTTCAGCCGCTGCTCAGACGAGGGCATGGTTAGTGAATTTGACTGTCGTACCGAAGAGCCCGGGTTCGAGTCTCGGAGACGGCATGGATTCAATTTGTCCATACCTTCATAGGAAGCAACGGCGACCCACGATTATAAAGTATTTTCTCCCTCCTTTAAGCATGCCTTCGTGCTGTAACGGTAGCACACTCGGCGCGTATTCGAGAGGCCCAGGTTCGAGTCCCAGCGAGAGCATTGCTCATTTCTCACGTCTACCTGTTTCAAAAACCCCTAATGACACTACAGTTGCGCCCGAAGTAAACGGTAGAGAAGGATGATTTTTCACCACCAGGAAGTGGCGACTGGGTTCCTTAATCCCCAGTCGCCCTTTTAACCAGTTAACTGTGGTGCTCTCGTTTAAGAGTGCGCACCGTTTTGTGTCACCAGAATCGAACCATGGCGAGTCTATTCGTCAGTCACTGAGTAAGTTGCGATGGTAAGATATTGGATGAAAAAGATGGGTTTATTTTATAAAATTGAAAATTTTATTACTAATATTTACTTATTTGGTTAACATAAGCATATATTACAACATACATATTAAACTAAAAACGCAATAAATTAAATGAAATATTATACATATAAAAGTAAGAATTTAAATTCCTGCTCTGGGGTGATATTCAGCGAAATAGGGTACTATACACAATGGGACTTTACAAATAGAACACCAGTAACGCGATTCCTTCCTGATCTTACGTTTGTAGCAATGCGAATACCTTCGCGTAGAGTTATTTTTTTTTTTTTTCGATGCTCCGGGTATTTAATCCGGAACATGATTCCCGTCTAATTGGCTTATATTAGGTCTAAATGGCCGAGTTTGTGTCGATTTATTTCTTTCAATTGGATACGTCGCAAAAGTGACTTCAATAAATTTGAGCAAAATGTTGATACGCGATAATGTTCCATTATTCTTTAATATAATATGAATGCATTCAGACACATAATGTCTAAGAAACGGAGAAATATCTTTTTGTAGTACTTTTTGAGTCATTTTCTTGCTGTGGAGTACGCTATGATAATTTCATCGCTCCTATCCACTCCACCCATTTTTTTATTATAATCAATCACTAGCTCCAGTTTCTTTGTTATTATTTTTCTTTTCTCTGTTTCTATTACGTTGTCATTATGTACAGTACTTAATAAATAAACCTCCTTCTTATCTTTCCATTTCATTAACATAATATACGCATGACGAGTATACTCGTCAATACACAAAATCAGGTCGTTTCTCCATAACGAGTATACTCGTCAATCACAGTTAACTGGTTAAAAGGGGGAATATATAAGGTATTTTCTCCCTCCTTTCTGCATGCCTTCGTAGTGTAACGGTAGCACACTCGGCACATATTCAATAAGTCCAGGTTCGAGTCCCGGCGAGGGCATTGCTCACTTTTCATGTCTACCCTAATGACTCTACACTTACCTCTAACGAAGAGACCACAGCTTCCGGCGTTAGTAGGGGGCCAATGCCTACAAATGGCTAGATCCTGCAATTGAGAAAAATATTTCAAAGTTTAAAAATGGAGATCTGTGGCTGTATGCTTAATCAGCAATAGATGCTTTTTCCACAGGCGATAAACGGCTTTTCCGTGTTACAAATATCGATCTTTATTCTTGTAAATAACACAATTATTTCGTTTTTTTTTTTTTATTACTGCCATCTTTTATGATAAAAATGTTAAGCATGGCAGAATATTAATTAGATGAGCAAATAAAAGCATTTGATGACTATTAGCAAAATTTTATGATTTTTCTAAATCTAATTTCGGCAAAAGTTTTTTTTTTTTTTTTTTTTTTTTTTTTTTTTTTTTTTTTTTTGTAGCTAAGCTTTCGATACCATTTTCAACTTCAGTTTAAACACTGCAAATTTCATAAAGCATCAAAGACTCAAGTTTGTTCGTGTTTAGCATCAAAGACTCAAGAAATATTTCAAAATTTCTTGTTCAGCTTTAATGTCACAGAAAATAGGAAATATAATGTAGTGATCCTCCCTTTTATTTATTAACTAAGTGTTGAGGAACCTAGTGAATTACTAAGCAAATAATCGCTCAAGTCCAGAAATAGAAATGTAAAACTCTAGAAGGATTAATTACCCTATACTGCTCAAAATAAAATTTAACAAATGGTCCCTTTCTCGGGGCGTACAAGAAAGCCTTCACTCGGACTTAAACTCAAAAATGTAAGAAATAAGAACTTAACTAATGACTAACTAAAGCGATTTAGTCGAAGCTAAAGCAATTTCTAAGCTAGTTGGTACCTAATAAGCCAGCGAAGCTATCAAGGGCGCGTAATACGGCTGAGCGTAGCCCAAAGGCAAACTCGCGAACTCTCTCTACCGAAGTCAGTGGTGCCTAATTGAAGAATAAACTGTAATTGCAAGTGTTTCTTATCTAACACAATGTAAAGTATCTAAGTAACATAGTATTTGTGCTTTTTTTGGGGGAGGGGTATGTACTTATGTTATGAGTTACTGATTTGCTATGGTTTGAATGTGTTTGATGTAAAATTGGCAATTCGCATACGCCCCTGTATGGCCATGTTCTTGTGTTTCTCTTTCATTTCGATAGGTGCTGGGACCCGGGCAGCTGGATGGCAGCGAATCCCATCGGATGCTCTGGATAATGGTAGAGGTACTGATTAATCACTATGGTAAAGAAACAGTGCCCACGTCCACCGTCACTCACTCACTCACCGAAGTCAATCGAACTTCGACTTAAATACTACTGCTTCTCATTTGCATTTAACGCGATTCTAAAAACTCATTCTGGTAAGCTGAAATTAGAAGAGATACGAATGGAGCTTTGACTTAAAAATAACTGTTATAAACATAGGATTGTAGGGATTTACATTTATTTTAACTAACATTTTAAATTTTAAGTTCAGACTTTTCCATAAACCTTCATTCCCCTAATTGTCAGTGCTAGAATAGTTAAATGTTGTAGCGCACGTGAACGCATGCAAATTTTATATGTTGAAGGAAGTAATTAAATGCCGAGTTTTTAGAAGGTTAAGTTAGAGAGTTAGGCGCTAGCGGCCGTCTCTACCGTAGGTACGTTTGCTGATTGTTGTTTCAAGTGGTTTAATTTGCTTTGCTTTGCTTTGCTGCCACTAGCTTAGAAAGGGGTTGAAGTTCGGGATCTCGCTGAGTCCCGTGGGTTAGTTTAGCACTTGTTAAATATTTCAGCTTTTAATTTTCAATTACCTGCTTTTCAGTTCCTCCTAAATAAAGGCGAAGTTTGTTAGTGTCGAATTGACGCAATGTAAATTTTAAAGTGTTAATAAAGAGTCTGAACCCTTTCTTCTGTGCAGTTTCCTGTTACTCCTGTATCCAGACAGAAGTTAACCCACCTGGACCCTACGGATAAATCTTACAATAACATATGTTTATAATAATCATACAAACAAATGCTTTATTAAAAAAGCTTGAAGAACGCACTATTTTTCATTTTATAGAAGAATTTTTTTCCAAGTGATAAAAATAAAGAACTGAAACAAAATAAGAGCATGAGGCACATTATAATTACATAAGTATATAAAGAGTTCTCCACAAATTTTATCTAATTTGCTCTAAAATTCCTGAAACCTCTACGATTCTGCATCCGATACGTAATACATGGCATAAAAAATTAAGGAGCATTTTAATTTATAGGATATACAAAACACACGCGCCAACTCCATAACTCTTTATGTCAAAATTAAACATGTCGCTAAATGAAGCGAAGTGAATATCGGAAATCTGATTCCTCTGGTTTTCCAAGAAACAAAAAAACCTGGAAATTTAGGTGTAACATTAAGAAGAAAAGGTACTGCAAACATGTTATAGGAATGCAGAGATGTTTACAGCTTTCACTTTAATTGGTCCACGGTTCCAATTACTGGAACATTTATAGCTCATGGATACCGGAAAATTCTGCGGTTCGAATAAATCTGTTAATGTACTGCACATATTATTTATCTCTTTGAGGCAAGGGCATGAAAGTCCTCATAAATTCGCAGTCAAAAGGAGCATCTGGATGTCGTATTGTCCATCCGCGATTTGTTTAGTTGGGAAGGTGACATTATTACCACCGCCGCTACTTCTTTTTCGCAAGCGGGAACGAGTCCCAAGACCAGTAGACCCGGTTCTTGGCGCGCGGCGGTCGGGGGCGGAAATGAGGTCATCGCGCGTTCTATAAAACGCGCGCCGACTCACAAATGCCGTTTGGTGCGCGTCAATCGGGAGCGAGAATCAATTCCGTTGCTCCATGCTCTATCTATCCATACGTCGTGAAAGTTAACAGGAGATAAGAAGAGTCCAGCTGAGGAGTATTGTTTTTTCTTTCGTGAGGGGGCGCTGTCGTAGAGTGGACACTCAACAAAAAAAAAGGGGAAAACGTATCATCGCCTCCGTGACCTTCGTCGTCTATCAAAATGGGGTTAAGGTAAGAAAATATTTATTTATTCCATGTTTATAGAATAATTATTTTCAACAGCTTTAAAAAATCTTTAAATTTTTTTTAAATTTTGACATCTTTAAAAAAAATTTTCGGATAAATTGTAAATAATTAGATACACTCTCTATTTACAGAAGAAAGCTATATAACACATATCTGAATGAAAGCATTTCAATAGTAAATTGCGCCTTATTGCAAATTTATATAATTGCAATTAACGATATAATTTACTCTTAGTGATAAAACTATTAATAATTATATATTTATGTGTTAATATATTTACATATTAATATTTTTTCATAATATGTGTTCTAAGCCTTTTAAAGGGTGATTTGAAATTCATCAAATGTTTAGTCAAATATATTAAAAAGACAAGTGACGCATTCAATTTAATTTGGCATTTAATTAATGAATCTAATTTAACAATTTTGTATATAATTAATTAGTGAATTGTATCGAATGACTTCTTATTATAAATTTCTGAAAATGAAACAGTTACTGATCTGTGAGAGCAACTTTTGTATTTTGATAGATTTCCAACATAGATGAAAACTGTTCCAAAACTTAAAACAGAAACTGTTAATCAGGAAAATATTCTCTTTTAGAGATTACTGTAAAATAATTTATTCGCATGTTTAGAGACTATACGCGTTAGCTTTATATGACAAGGCGCTTAGTGTTTAAATATTTTTAAAACATTTATATAATAAATATATAAATAAATATATTTAAATAAATTAAATCAAAACAAATATTTAGCTAAAAGAATTTTTTTTAATTTGAAAACTACTTTAATATAGTTTACATAAACTAATTTCTTTATGTAGTTTATAAAACTATATTTAATATAGTTTAAGGAAGGAAAAATAGGAAAGGAAATAGAAAAAAAAAGGTCGAATAAAATATGACATTGTTTTAAATAGCAGTCTAAAATTACTGCTTGGCCATTTTAAAAATCTTTATATTAAATGAGCTTTTGAAAACAAAATTTGAGATTATCAACCATACCATGGGCCAAAGGAATCTGAATTCGTTTTTATTTCCAATGAAGGAAAGGGAATTTTGAATGCAAAGTTTAATTTTTTGACTATATTAAGAAATTATGGTTTCAAATAAAATACAAAGTATTATTTTTATTTCAAAAATACTTTAGCTCTTTCATGAAGAATGGTTAACTAATGAAAAATTCAGCATTGCTTTAATTAAACCGTCAAGGATCGCATAATACCTTTTTTGGAAGTCGGTGTAATGATGTTGCATTTTCAAAACATTTTATAGTATCTTTGATCACACAAATCTAAATGAATGCTTCCCATGAAGCTGAATTATGAGTAACACTATTCCTTGAATAATGTTTACTAGATGATGTTGTAATAATAAATGCGAACTTTTACAGTTTCAGCTTCCAATACATGCGCAAGAAATTGTGGAAAAATTTAAGTGACGGAAATAAATTGAAATTTGAGTATCAGTTGTTCTCATCGAATTGTACAACCGCGAGGAAGAAGGTCTCTGATAAATAGGAGCATTTTTTTAAACTTTGTTAAGAAAAAATACTTTAATTAATTAGATAAGTTAATAAAATTAACGCATGTTTTCTTTAAAAACGTCTATCAACTCAGTTTCATACTACCTACAATGAAGACAATTTAAATGAGATTCATATTAGAATTAGAGCCTTTTAGAAACAAAATGCACATTCTGCAATACTTTGGAGTAAATAATCCTAGGTAATTTTAATATTTCGCAGTAGAAGGGAAAGTAGAAACTGAAAGCTTTCGGGTTAACTTTCCGCGCCTTCTGGCTACGAAACTGCCAAAATTAGGCGTAACTGCACACATTATGGTTTTCAGGGAAGCCCTGGAGGTCATGTCTGGAGCTGAAATGTTGACAAGATATTAATCAGAGATTGCAGTCAATCCTATTGAAAAATGAGGTATTTTATTTTTGAAAGTTTCGTGACCTCTTAATTCATGCTGGTTTGATAAAACTGATTTTCTATAATACTATTCTAAACCAAAATTAAAGAATTAAAAATTTAATTTATAAACAATATTCTTTTTGTCTCCTTGTGCTGCCGTTGATGTTAAGATATTAGTTATCATGAAAACATAATTTTTTTACATTAAAGGGATTCTAAGAGAGATCTTTAGAGGGATTGCATACAGTAAGTTTTAAAAGTTCTCTTCTTTCATGGCATGAAATTCCATGAAAAGTATAGCGTACAGTAATTTTGAAAAGTTCTAATTTTTCATGGCATCGAATTCTATGAGAAATATAGCATGAACAAATGAGAAGTGTAGTAATAATGAAATGAATATGATTCGGTTCATTAAACCTACTGCCCCGTGACCTTCCCGCCTTTAAATGTGGTTTCTTTACTGAAGAGCGTGCTAGGCCAGAAAGCAGTACTTCAAATCTGGATGCAAATGTCGTGATCGGTAATTTAAAAAACGTGTTCCTAACAAGTAGAAAAGACAGTGAAAAACAAACTTTATAAAAAATTAACTACTATAAAAATGTAAATAAATATTTTCATAATTTTCTAGTTTTGGTAAAAAACTGTTAAAAAATTATTTTTTCAATTTCTGGATTTTGTTCAATGAAAGACAGCAAAATAATTCATACTTTTTAAGATTATCAGAAAAAATCACAGGAATATTTTCTCTATTTCTAATGTATTTTATACATTTTAAAATAAATTACAAAAATTAGAATATTTCGAAACTTTTAATTTAAAAGAAAGTTGTAAGAAAAAGCATCTACATGAAAGAAATGCGAAGTCATAATTTCGGTATAAAATATGTAATTTATGAAACAAAATGTAGTGCCTTTTATTTAAATATTAACTGAGTTTTGAAATGAGGTCTTTATTTTACAATGCTGACAATATTTGTAATGTTGAAATAAAGATCTTCGTTGCTATTGTAGCATAATTCCTATTTCAACGGAGCCGTTTCATAATAAATAAATAAAACTGAGAATAAATATACAACTATAGATCCCTTATAATGCAAATATGTGTGTGTGTGTGATTATGGCAAAGCCTCGAGGGCTATCTGCCTAAGAGGAGGGATGCCTTCGTGGAGGACTTTCTAAGGGAAACTGGCTCGTATACACGTTACACATGGGGAAAACCACGAAAACGCCCATGCAGCCAGCACGTTCGCGGGATTCGAACCTCGGACCGAACTACCAGTGTTCAGCGACTTTACCGCTCGGCTGCTGGTGGGCCCTAAATGCAAATATACAAAACGATATGTTCATTTTATAGGACATAATATAATGCATCCTTTCTTGTCATTCTTTAAGAGGTATAATGGCATGATTTTAATGTGATTGCACATGCTCGGAACTCTTCTGTCTTCCCATTTTTTTAGAATATTAATAGGAAAGCTGCTATGTAAGAGTAATGTTATTTATTACCACTCATACATATTACTATTTTCTTTCATGGGCTGTATGTTATTCTGTAATTGTCGCCAAACAACCAAAAAATAAATAAAAATACTAATATCTTTTTATCAGTATGGATTTGAAAATTAAATTTCTCTTATAATATGAAATACTTAAACTCTTATAACGAATTCTAATTTAATTTCTTATAATAAGCACAGGAGGCGTAACAGAGAGTTTTTCCAAGGTCGTTAAGTAATTAAATTTTGTTAAAGGAACGAGGTGTTTTGAGATTTGTTAAACCGGTTTAAAACTTTTATTTTTAGGTAAAAGTTCTTCTTTTTATAGAGGAAATATTCTAACTCTAATAAATGATTGTTGGAAGGAATTTTAACATAAATACAAAAAAATTTCTAACTTTACAGGAAATTGATTTGAATTTATAAAAAACCTAGACAGCATAAATTTTATGTTTTGTGAATCTGTAATAAAAAAAAATCTTTGACGTTGAAGAATTTCTGATATTTAAAATGCTATGCATGTGTCTGATTACCTGTGTTTTAATGTAATTCCTGTTAACGTGCGTATTTTAACTTTAATTTTATTTATAATTAAGTAAAGGTTTACGTCGTTTAAAGTCGTAAAGTTAGAAATTAAAATAGTAAAATAAAATTAAAATATGAATCAACATAAAATTTTAAACCATTTAAAATACTTAAAAATGCGCTATGAGAACTAAAGACGGAATTGTTTATATGTTACTGCAATAACCTAACACATCAAAACTTAGATAAAATGTGTTAACTGAAAATTTCATAAATTATTTAGCATCATCGAAATTCAATTGTCACTCATTTCAGTTTAAAAATTGATTAAACTTTGCGTTTTAAATTCATATTTCAAAACAAATGAGATTTTCCAAAAAATTTCCCAAAAAAGGTCTAAAAGTCTAAAACTCATTACTTCAATGAAGTGTTAGTATATCTAGGAAATAAGAAACTAAGAAGTTATATCTAATTACTTAAGTATTTTAATTCAATTCTCATCTCTCAGTGTTATTTTAAACCCACGATGTAAATTACCGTCTGTAGTTCAAGTGACTTGTGAAAACACATATAAACAAAAAATTTAAACTGTATTCTATTTCACCACATGTGAGTGTAAAGTAAAATAATGCAAAAGCAAAATATCATTCTCCTTGGCTTAATAAGCAAGTAACAGCTGAAACATACAAATGCCTTGGATGTAGTATAAGTATTCCTTAGCAAGACCACAACAATCTGGATCGGACACTAAACTATAAATGAAGGTAAAGTTACTTAGGCTAATATCTAGTATATCTAATTGATTAGATCAACGCCATTCTCTAAACAGCAGGCAAGGGTGACAGCTGTTCTCACTGCTAAATGTTTAACTACTCGTATTACAACTTATGTGGATATGAATCCTTTCTCTCACTTTACACTTCACCGCTTGCCTCAATTAAATGTGCATAATTCTCTGGATTGAACTAGTATGTGACGAAAGGAGGCATAAAGAAAGATGCAAATCAAAATCTCAATCGCCAGTTAAATTCAAATAGAAAATCATAA